CACTTGTGCTCACACTGTTCCCTTCCCCTTTTTTGCTTGTGGGATGAATTTGGGCCACATCTGAGAGTGCTCAGGGCTCACCCCTTTCTCATTGCTCAGGGATCACTACTGGCAGTTCTTGGGGAACCATATGTGGTATGGGGCAATGAGCCACGTTTAGTTGCATGTAAGGCAAACACCTCTACTATCTTTCCAACCACTTTTCCCTGCCTCCCTTCCTCTGTCTTTGCCATGGTCAGTTTCTGGATTTACTTTAGTCACTTATTAAGACTATCTCACCTTCCTCTAGCAGAAATCTTAGAGCTCCCTCTACCTGGACTAAAGGGCAGGCCAGTTTTGTATTTTTTTTTCAGCACTTAGAATTTCATAATGTTCTGGGTATGTTATTACTGAGTTCTACTTCTTTATTTTGATACACACTGTGCTTAAGAATCTGACCTATTAAGCTCTATAGAGCTAAATAAACCCTGTTGTATGGAGACTTTTGCTGCAGCAGCAACAATTGTTACTCTGTACACATGATCAAGGCAGGCCAACTAGCAAGGAAGCAGTAGTGAAGCGGTGAAAGGTTGGAAGGGGGCCAAAGGGGGAGGGGAGAAAGCCCAGAGGTGTCTAGTTTCATGGGAAGCTGATAAATCCTGGCCTTTTAATTTCCTTCTTCCTCCAAATGCAACAACATGTTCTTATCCTGCAATTCATTTTTTTTTTCTTTTTGGGTCACATCCGGGGATGTTCAGGGGTTACTGGCTCTGCACTCAGGAATTACTCCTGGAGATGTTTGGGGGACAATATGGGATGCTGGGAATAAAATCCAGGTTTGCGCGTGCAAGGCAAATGCCCTACCCGCTGTGCTATATCTCCAGGCCCCTTATCCTGAAATTCTGCTTAGGTTCTGTCACCTCTAGGACTCAGTGGGATAAGAATCTGTTTTACTAATATATGATATGGACTTTTAGATGAGACAACTAGAAAGGAAAATTGAAATTGGTTCTCAGGAATAAGGAGTGTCACACTAGTGCTGGGAGATTACACTGGTGGAGGGTGTTGGCACATTGTATAACTGAAATACAATCACAAGCAATTTTTGTAGTGCTCTATCTCACCGTGATTCAGTAAGTTAAAAAAAAACAAGTTTAAACATATTAAGGAGTCTTCATTTTTTTTCTTTTTAAATTTTTATTAGTGAAACACCATGAGGTACAACTGTAGACTTACAAATTTTTGTACTTGGGTTTCAGTTATACAAAGATTGACTACGGATCCCTTCACCAGTGCCCATTCTCCACCACCACTAATCCCAGTATCTGTCCCACCCCCCAACCCCCCATCCAACCCTGCCTCTGTGGCAGGGTACTCCCTTTTGTTCTCTCTCTCCTTTTGGGTGCTGTGGTTTGCAAAAGAGGAATTGAGTGGCAGTCATGTTCGGTCTATAGTCTACTTTCAGCATGCATCAAGGAGTCTTCATTTAATCAGTCCTAACTTTCTATATTAAAATGATCAGTGTTTTCTTATGTTATACATACAAATAACAAAAATAAAATGTATCAGTCTATAAAAAGAATAAGCACTGTCAATGTTTTATAAATGCTCTTCTTGATTCACTTTTTCAGGATATATATATGTATATATATATATACACATATACAGTATGTATCTCCTGAGAGAGAGAATCAAGAAGAGCATTTATGTGTGTGTGCGTGTATGTGACTGCTACACCATTTTTGTAACCTACTTAATCACACAATTAATGAAAAAATCTTCATAGCATTTGGGTGAGGTCTCCCAAGCAGTTTTTTAGTTGCCTGGGGTCTTTTCCAATGTTAGTGCACTTGACATGATAGTTCAGTACTGGGACAATGAGGCTATGCTCAGCAGTACTCTGACTTGGGTTATGTGGTGCTTGGGAATTTAACTTAAGGCTCTGGGATGCCTGCATGGTCTCTTTTCCAGCTAGCTCTGACTCTCGCCCTTCATAATATTTTAAAATTCCATGTGATATTTTCATTTGGTGTGTACCTTATGTGTACTTTCAACTGAGTCCTCTTTACTTAACATTTAGTTGTTTCCAAGTTTTTGAATGCTGAAAATGATATGTTAACTGTAAGTAGCTATGTGTTAATTTATAATTACTTCTTTATGATAAATTTCCTGAAATAGAATTTTGGGGTTGTTTTCTGGGTCACACCTCGCCATGCAAAGGACTTACTCCTAGATCAACAATCAAGGATCACTCCAGGTATAGCTCAGGGAGGGATATTGTGGGTGCAAACACCTTACCCATGATGCTAGTTTTAAGCACAGGAATCGAATTGTTGAGGTTAAGGAGTTGTCAAATATTAATAGTTGTTAACTGTGTGAATAGGTTTTTTTAAACAAAAGTCATATGTTTTTCTAGAAAAAAAATATTTCATGTTCAGAATCCTTATGATCTCAGCAGTTTCCTGAGTGAACAAGCTGAAATTACCAAACCATGTTTCCAGATTATTCTCCCTAGGAATCAAATATGACTGAGCTGGTAATGATAATATTGTGCACTGATCTTCACCTTTCTAACCCTGTCTTTGTAGGTCTGTCTTCTTTCCAGTGTATAACAGGACGGCAAAGACTCAGGTGATTTCCTAATTTATTTACCTCTTACCTCTTACTTTGCTTTCAGTGAAATTTAGTGAGTTTGAGGGAATCTCTATTATTATATTGAAAAAAATTGTTAACCTATTATACTCCGTTTTCTGTTCAGCCTCTAATTCACCTCAGGTGAATTAATTTCCATCTTTCCTCTGTACACAGACACATATAAACCAAATACACATACACACACACACATAGGCATATACTCACAAAAATGTACAGAAACACACATTCCAAGAAAAATAAAGGATATTTTTCTCATCTACTTCTATCTATGGAAAATGCACTTTTCTCTCTCCTCCTGCTCAGAGAAGACTATTTAAATACATATTGCTTTTTCCATTTCTTTATATTCAATTAGTATTTTTGCTATTCATTGTTTTTCAAATGAAAGTAAATTTATGTTAAGAGCATTATAATATGAAAAAATAGTAATAAAACTAGTCTTCATTTCCCCCTCCCCCAGTACTTCAGAGATTGTGTTCCTCAGAGATGCCTACTGTTACTTTTGGTGATTGTGTAATGAAAGTGCATTTAGGTCAATTTGATAGTTACAAATAGATACATTGTATTATTGTGTGATTTTGTACAAATGCTATCATATTCCCACATCCATTTTTTCTTTTCCCACTGGAATATATTCTAGGTGGTGTGCCCAGTCAATGCATGAAGATTTTTTTCTGTTCCTATTTCAAGGTATGGTATGGTATATAGTTTATTTCTATATTGATAGTATTTAATTTTTTCTATTAGAAATATTGGCCTATGAATGACTTTCAATGTATCAATTTATTCAGTGAGATATATAGATATGACGCCTTAAATTGGATATTTTTTATTTGTTTTGGGCCATAACTGAAGTGCTCAGCGCTAACTTCTGCTACTGTTCTCATGGATCACTCCTATTGGTGCTCAAGGGACCATATGTGGTGCCAGGGATCAAACCTAGGATATCCACATGCTGTATGCATGGTTAACACCTTATCCATTGTGCTGTCTTTCCAGCCCTGGAAGCTGGATTTTGGGGGAAAGTAAGGAAAGTAAGAAAGTAAGAAAGCTTTATTGGAAAGTATAAGTGAAAGGGAAGGAAATTCCCCAACTAGGGAGGAACTTAGTATAGGGCCAAGTCCAGAAACTGGATTGTTTTTTCTTTTTGCGTCAAACCTGGCGATGCACAGGGATTACTCCTGACTCGGCACTCAGAAATTATTCCTGGCCGTGCTCAGGGGACTATATGGGATGTTGGTAATCGAACCCGGATCGGCCATGTGCAAGGCAAATGCCCTACCCACTGTACTATCACTCCAGCCTCTGAAGCTGGATTTTTTTGGCTTTTTGGGTCACACCTGGCGATTCACAGGGGTTACTCCTGGCTCTGCACTCAGGAATCACCCCTGGTGGTGCTCAGGGGACCATATGGGATGCTGGGAATTGAACCCGGGTCAGCCGCGTGCAAGGCAAACGCCCTACTCGCTGTGCTATTGCTCCAGCCCCAGAAGCTGGATTTTTAAGTCAGATATTCATACTTTAAATTTGTGCCCCCTTAAATTCAGACTAATTATGTTATTATAAAATTTTAAGATCAGATAAATTCTATGTTCAATTTTTGCATAAAAAGGAATCCAATTCATTTTAAGAAGCCATAGATCTTTGAATTTAATTAAGAAACTATGAAAAGAAAGTTCTAAACTACTTTCACATAAAGAGTATAGATGAAGGGGCTAAAGAGTTAGTACAAGTGTTACGGCACTTGACTTACATGCAGACAATCTCAGTTCAATCTCCAGAACCACTGGAAGAGTGATCCCAGAACATGTAGCCAGGAGTAATCCATGAGATCACTGCTGAGTAAGCCCATACATGTAAAGAATATGGATTGAATTGCATGCCCAAATCCCAAAACATTCTGAATTATCCATGAATGACTTTTATTGAACCATTTTTTCATTTTTGTCTTTCTTTTTCTTTTCTTTCTTTTTTTTTTTTTTTTGCTTTTTGGGTCACACCGGGTGATGCACAGGGGTTACTCCTGGATCATGCACTCAGTAATTACTCCTGGCGGTGCTCAGGGGACCATATGGGATGCTGGGAATCAAACCGGGGTTGGCCGTGTGCAAGGCAAATGTCCTACCCGCTGTACTATCACTCCAGCCCCTTTATTGAACTTTTAAAAAACAATCTTTAATTGACGTTGTGTTGTATTTGCATTAGAACATTATGTATGTTTCAGGTGTGCATCATTGGAAATCAACTTTTTTATATTAAGATCTCCACTAAAACCCAATTCTAGACACATTAGGTTACTCCTCAGCTCCACCACCACCACTGCTGTTTCAGAGTGAGAATCTTCTCATATACGAGGTTTACCCATGATGTCTAAGCCAGTGTCTCCCCAAGAGCCGGAACAGCTGCGGAAACTCTTCATCGGAGGACTGAGCTTTGAAACAACTGATGCAAGTCTGAGAAGCCATTTTGAAAAATGGGGAACACTCACAGACTGTGTGGTAATGAGAAATCCCAAGACCAAGCGCTCCCGAGGCTTTGGGTTTGTCACATTCAGCACCATCGGTGCAGTGGATGCAGTCATGAATGCAAGGCCACACAAGGTGGATGGAAGATATGTGGAACCAAAGAGAGCTATCTCGAGAGAAGATTCTCAAATGCCTGGTGCCCATCTTACTGTGAGAAAGATTTTTGTTGGTGGCATCAAAGAAGACATCAATGAGCGGCACCTGAGAGAGTATTTTCAGCGCTTTGGGAACATTGAGATGATTGAAATTATAACTGATCAAGACAGTGGAAAGAGGAGAGGCTTTGCTTTTGTGACTTTTGATGACCATGATTCTGCAGACAAAAGTGTCATTCAGAAATTCCATGTTGTGAATGGCCACAACTGTGAGATAAAAAAAGCCTTGTCTAAGCAAGAGATGGCCAAGGGTTACCAAAGGGGCCAACGTGGCTATGGAATCTTTGGTGGAGGTCATAGAGGTGCTTTTGGTGGGAATGCCAGCTTTCTTTATGGAGGAGGCATCAGTGGGCAAGGTGCTTTTGGTGGCAGCTCAGGACAAGGTGCTTTCGGTGGCAACATAGGGCAAAGTGCCTTTCGTGGCAACATAGGTGGTGGTGGATATGGTAACAGTGCGTTTGAATATCATGGATTTGGTGATGACAGAAGCAATTTTCTAGGTGGTGGAAGTTACAGTAATTTTGGCAATTACAGCACTCCATATTCACATTTTGGGCCTGTGAAGAGAGGAAACTATGGAGGCCCATTTTTAGGCCCTTATGGCGGTATTGGCCAATATTTTGTCAAACCACAAATCAGAGGTCATTATCGTGGTCACAGAAGTGGCAGAAAGTTTTATTTTCCAGGAAGGCTTAGGCGAGAAATGCCACAGAAATGAAAGGGAAGCTACAGATTATCACAGACCTGTGAACTCAGCCAAACACAGTGGTGGCAAGATTTAGTTACTACAAAGAAGGCATGTTTTAGACATTACTATTGTGAATGATAAAAATTCCAGAACAGTATTTTGCTAATTATATAACTGGTCATTTTAGCTTCTGTTCTGTGCAAAGTGTAAAACAAAAAAACCAAAGTGTAAAACAAACTGTGCAAAGTGTAAAACAAAAAATCCAAAGTGTATTTGTATAGATTCTCTTTTGTACTTGTGCTATATTGCTAAATGTAATAATCTGATCATAATGTTGATTTAAGTATGTCTATCTTAAAATGTGCTGTGTAAAGTTAGTGCACTCTGAAGCTATCTTAGTAAATTTCCTCCCAGTAGGATACTGTTAGAATTCTGTAGAGTGAAGCCAGCTTCATTTTTAAATTTACTTATATCCTATTTGAGCAGAGAAATAATTTTCTTCATAAATCTGGGTATAGTTAAACTGAATGTTACTGTATTGTGACCTGGAGTTCACCATTCAAGGTATCACCCAAGCAGTCTATGGTTTTGTTTTTTGTTGGCACATCTTATGTAACGTATCTAAATTTAATAATGGTACCAGATATAATTTTGGATTGTATAATGTTACTATATAATGCTTTCTTATTTGTAATCAATAAATAATATCTGCTTTAAAAATAAAGTGCAATTCTGTCCTTCAGCATATGATTGACCCCTTTGTTCCCAGTTTACACATACCCCTTCCCTGTTCTCTCCTGGTAATCATTAACCAAAAGATTTTTGTTTTGTTTTTATTTTTACTTAGTTCATCTGTTTGTCTTATTACACATATGACATCGGAGTGTGAAACCTTTTAGTGTTTTTCTTTCTCCATTTGGTTTATTTCACTAAGCAGAATACTCTATGTATATCCATGTGATTACAAGTGACAGGGTTTCATCTTTTTAATGGTTCAGTAGTATTCCATTTTTAAATTACATATTTAAAAAATACTAGTCATACCCTGTTGTACTGCAGGTGCCATTAAGTTTCAGGGATCAAATTCAGGGTCTTTTTCCTGTGCTAGATGTGCTCTGCACTTGAATTACATCTCTAAACCCTATACCCTAACATCTTTATCTGTTCATCAATTGATGAACATTTCAGTGTCTTCTAGTTCTTGTCTATTATAAATAATGATGTTTTTAATATGGGGAGGCATAGCTAGTAAAATTAATGGTTTTGTACTGGGGGTTAATATATAAAAGTGGGATAACTGGATCATATGAATATTTTTGGTTTGGTTTTGGGTCACAACCAGCAAATGCTTAGGACTTAATCCTGGCTCTGCACTCAGGGATCAATCCTGGAAGTGCTCACAGACCATATCAGGATTCAGGGATTGAACCCAGATAGGCCCCAAGTAAAGCAAATGTCCTATCTGTTGTATCTCTCCAGCCTTTGAATTGATGGGGAGGGCAGTTTGGGCCACATTCAGCAGTGCTCAGCAGTGCTCAGGGCTTACTCCTGTCTGTGCTCAGAAATCATTCTGGGAACCATATACAAGGGATGAATCCCAGGTCAGCTGCATGCAAGGCAAGTGCCTAATCCGCTATACTATGTATGACCCCAGCAAACACTTTTTTACATCTCCCCTCTTTAATTCATATGTATAGCTTAACAAAACTGGGTAACACTACACTACTTTTTGTAACCTTCTAAACATGTTTAGAAACATGTTTAGGAAAAGAGAAAAATTATACATGTAAAATTTGTATTGTCTTAGTAAAGTCTGATGGAAACAGACTGGAGCTATCAGGCCCTATTTCTAGAACATTATCAGGGTTCAATAGTGGTTAATTTTGGGCAGATTATGATGGTCGGGTGCACTAGTACTGACCATCCTAATTCTTTCTTCATAGATATTCATCTGCCCAGGACAGAACAGATGCCCATGTCATAGATGAGCTCCTTATTTAATCTTTACTTTTTTCTCAGTGAAACTGAGTAAGCTTTGAGGTATCTATATTGTAATCTAAAACAATTACGTTAATAGGGGCTGGCAAGATTGTACAACAGGTAAGGTTGTATGCTGCCTACCTGGATTCTATCCCTTGCACTCAACTTAATCTCAGGTACCCTGCACCCCATTCAATCCACAGCACCAAGTTTCAATCCTCGAAACCCTCAGTACAGCCATGTGTGATCCCTGAATAAAAAGTACAAAGTACAAAGGAGTAAACCTTGAGCACTGCCAGGTGTGCCTCCCCCAAAATACCCCCCACCAATTCTATGTTAATCCTCAACATGGATGGAACTACAGGATATCGTACTGAATGAAAGCAGTCAGAAGAAAAGGGGTAACAGCAAAACCACTCCTGCGAATATACCCTAGGCCAAAAAGCTGCAGAAAAGCCATCTACACTCATATGTTCATTACAACACTATTCACAAAAGCCAGAATCTGGAGCAACCCAAGTACCCAAGAACAGGTGAGTGGATAAATTATGACACATCTACACAACTGAATACTACACAGTTATTAGGAAAAATGAAGTCATGAAATTTGCGTATAGATGGATGGCATGGAAAGTATCATGCTGAGTGAAATGCATCATAGCATGAGAGACAATAAAAGTATTGCAAACCACAGTGCTAAAGGGAAAAATGGAAATAGAGAGATAGGTAAAAGCAAAAGGAGGAGGAGGAGGAAGAGGAAGAAAAAGAAAAAGAAAAAGAAGAATGAGAACTAAAAGGAGAGAAGAAAAAGAAGCATAAGAAGCAGAAGAGAAGGAGCAGCAGATTAAGCAGTAGAAGGAGAAGCAGAAGAAAAAGAAGCAGAAAAAGAAAAAGAAGTAGAAGGAGAAGAAGCAGGAGCTGCATAAGAAGGAGATACAGAAGGATCAGGAGAAGAAGAAGAAAAAGAAGCAGAAATAGACAGTTAAGAAGCAGAAGAACAATAAGCAGAAAGAGGAGAAGAAGTAGTAGAAGAAGAAATCACGAACAGCTTTGTAATTTTGTATCTCACAGTGATTCAATACATTTTTTAAAAAAGAAGGGAAGGGTTAGACACATAATGAGATCTCTCATGTATCGGGCTTTAAAATACACTGCAAGGCAGCAACAAGGGCCAAAGGTAGAACTGCTCCACACAACTGAATTTGTTGGAGGGGGCATTGAAAGGGAGGGGCGTTGGGGCCCTTGGGGTAGGGAGATGAATGTATATGTGAGGGGTCTGATGTTGGAATTATGTGCACTGAAAATCATTCTAACAGTATTGTAAATCACAGAAACTTAACCAATAGATTTTTTTAAACAAACTTATGTTATTTTGTTTGGGACCAAAAAGATAGTACAGTGGGCAGGGTATTTGCTTTTCGTTCAGCTAATCCAAGTTCAATCCCCAGATCCCCAGCACCTCATATAATGTCCTCTGAGCTCTGCAAAAAGTGATTCCTGAGCAAGGAGCAAGGAGTTAACCCTGAACCAGGTGTGGCCTCAAATCAAAACTATTTTAATTTTTTCGGTTCTGGTGGTTTACTGTTCTATAATAATCCACATTAAGTTTCTCCAATCTTTCCTTTCTCCACAAAAAAAGAAAGAAGAGGAAGTGGAAAGATGGAGACACCACTTTCAATAAATTCTCTTTAGCATAGTACTTCATCTTGCCCTCTTTTCCTTCTCAAAATAAATTGTTTATCTATGTAGTACTTTCCTTTTTCCTTTTCTGGTTACTTTTACGTTTTTTATCATGTTGTAAACAGTCAAAGTAGAACTATACTCAATGTTGTACTCTGCTAGCAAACCTAGTAGCTAAAGTCTCTGTTGTTTCTCTTCTCTCTGACACCATATTCTTTCTTGGGGAAGTCCAGTTTTTACACTTTAGCGATATTGTGTTGTAGATACATGTACATCAACTTGATAACTAAAAAAATAGAAATAAGTGTTGTGGGATTTGGCACACCCCCATACCCATCTTTCTTTATATTCTGGGTGGTATTCCTCAACAATACAAAAAGGATTGTTTCATTTCTGCTTACTAGTATGGATCTATTATTGAAATATTTCTCTATTCATGAATACTTAGTTTTTTAAGTGTTTTTCTATTATAAACAGTGTCTCATGATGACCTTTCTAGATATCTATTTTCTCAGTAGCACAAATGTTACGGAAATTGCATATTTGACTAAAAGTCACTCAAACTTTTAATTTGCTTTCCCAGGGTTGGGTATGTGACTCAAGTTGTAGAACATACACAAAGCATTATATGCACACTGCTTGGCCCCCTGAGCACTGCCCTTAATGACCCTGGCCCCTGAGCATTGCTGGGAGTGCATCCCACCCTCCAAATATTAGCTTTTCTTAATCCTTAATAATGATTAATTTTACTACATTTTAAAGACTACATAATTTCTGTGTTGCAAATTTCTAGGATATTAAAGATAAAAAGCACCAGTTTATTTTGTGTAGCCCCTTAATTTTAAACTTGATAAAGATATTATTAGGTTGTATATCCAGGCTGGTTTCTCAGGGGTTAAATCTATATAGATAGAGGCTTCATGAGCTAGGTTCTGGAGGGAGGTCTCTTGCAGAAACAATTGGGAATATAGCTCAAAAAGTCTCTGTCTAGATGGATTTCCAAGGTCTCTTGCAGAATCACTGAACAAAGCATCCTGTGACCCTTTCTTTAAGATAACACACAAAAAATCAGTACTCACAGTTACAAGTCACTTTGCTTACTTAGCAGCACTCCTGCCCTGTTTTTATGCCAGCTATTGAAAAAAACCTTGCTAGAAGAAACTGAGTTTCTTTTTTATGTTTCTTAGTGATTTCTTTGTTCTGTATAGCAAATCTCTAAAGGATTCTGTGTGCATAAACCTGCTTTATCCTTTCTTATAGGTTGGAGAAACTTCTACAATCTTTAATGCCCCTCTATGCTTGTGAAGAAAAAAGTAAACATTATTTTTTGTGATTATTTTTTTTAAATCTTGATTGGAGTACTGTTGTTTACAATACTGTTAATGATGGTTTCATGCAAACATCTTTCAAAAATACACCCATCACCGGAGGGCCAGGACAACTATGGACACTGTCAAGTGTCATTGTCACTGTCCTCCTGTTGTTCATCGATTTGCTCGAGTGGGCACCCACCAGTAACATCTC